AAAAAGGAGAGATCATCAGCCCGAATAAAATCAACAATAGTGGCTTCAAATCTTCTCCCGTTCAGTGTCATTTTTGAATAACCAGCTATAAGAATTAGAGGGCTAAATCTCTGATTCAGAAGCCCAACTGTCCGATGTTGCCTCCCACCTTAACTCCAATGCTTGCCCTCCTGCATTTGTTTCATGGAGGTTTTATAAAAGTGTCTCTGCAAAGCTTTTAGAACCCAAAACGAGTGGTTCTTTTATATGTTGAGGCTGTGCAAGATGGCTACAGTGTTGTTATTTGGCTGTGTGGTATCTGGACCCAACCTACTGTAGGTCAGTCACTGGGACCAGAGGTTTAGTCTTCCAAGCTTTTGGACTCAGTGTTGGAACCCACCCTCAGGGAACTTCTCTGTACCAGAATGGTGGAGTGTGCTTTGGGCTATTCTAGGCGTAGTATTTACCACCAGATTGCAAGAACTCAAGGGAGTGGTCAGATGAGGAGACCCAAACTCATTGGTAGCCTCACATTGAAATGAACAAGCACATACATTCAGTTTCACGGCTATTAAGATTGTTGGCTGAGCAGGTACAAAGATAGTCAGGGAAATGATTGAAGCCTGGGAAACGGGCCCCTCACTCAACAAGAGTGATGATTTACTACCAGTTTATCAGGTACTTAGGAGCCAAGGACTTGGCGGCACAAAGAAACAACAGCCAATGACTTAGTAGCCAGACATCAACACCCCGTCAACAACTAAAAAGCCACACACAATCAGGCACTGCATAAATAATACACATAGAATAGCCCAAAGCACATATCCTGGTAGAAAGAAGTTCCCTGAGGATGGGCTTCAGCACTAGTCCGAAAGCTTGGAAGACTAAACCCCTGGTCCCAGTGACCAACCCAGATTGAATCCTGCAACATTATCCTGGGACACGTATATTTGCTTTCATTTGTGTGGTATCGTTTTTTCCCCTCCATTCAACTTGCCTAGGCAGTTATTGGGGATTTAACATTTTATTATGCTACAGGGGGATGTCGCTTACGATCTTAACATGAGTTGCATGTTGATAGAGCACCCATAAGAATTGATTGAAATGATTGGTGGGATGAATGAATGGATGAACGAATGAACGAACAAATGAACAAACGTGAAGGCACATTATGAAGGGGCCAAGCCAGGTTGAATCCATGCAGAATCTGAACCACGGTGACTTTGCAGCAGAGAAAGAGATGAACAGTAGGTGGCTCTCCAGATGTTGCTGAACTACAAATCTATCTATTTTTATAAATAAATCTCGCGCCTCTCACCATTGGCCAAGCTAAGTGGAGCTGGCGAGAACTGTCCTCCAGCAACATCTGAAGACCTTCCATCTCTACTCTAAAAACTGGGGGAGAGAAGAGCCACCCGTTTACATGTTTAACTACTGTTCATGCCTGTTTTCCTTTGCCGCCCACAGACAGCAAGCCCAGATTCCTATTGCGACAGCCGGTGTCGTCTACCCAGGAGCCATCGCCATGACAGGAATGCCCTCCCCACATCTTCCCTCCGAGCATTCGAGTGTATCTAGTAGCCCAGAGCCCGGGATGCCCATGATCCAGAGCACTTACGGCATCAAAAACGAGGAGACTTCTCACGTCAAAGAGGAGATGCAGAGCGAGGACCTCAACGGCGAAATGTACGAAGATGAGGAGGACGAGGAAGAGGACCCCGATGTAGACTACGGCAGTGATAGCGAAAATCACATTGCGGGACAAGCCAACTGATCACGGGTTCCCACTCTTGGTTTTGACCTCGGAGGACTTGAATGGAGAGCTCCATCTGGTTTCTTACCCAGTGGCCAAGCACATGAACTTTACCCTCACACACTGACTGTTACTTAAAACTTTTTAGTCTTAACTAGTTTGGGACATCAGCTTATCAGGAGATATCAGCCTGCATTGAGAACTTTGGAAAAAGCAAGAAAGGAATTCTAAAGAAAAAAAAAAAAGACAAAAGGCTCAGAGGAAGAAACCCTTATCAAGGAAGTCAATAATGACAGAGATTTAAAACAAAACAAAAAAAGAGAGGACAAAATAAGCTATGGGTAACATAATGCCAGTAATTCAGCTGCTATACCCAAGCACTGAAGTCTTACCCGTTCGACCTTTTATTATTATTATTATTTTTTTTTCAAATAAACTTTATGGCTATTTGTTCTATAATGTTCTAGAAAATTCTCACTCAGGTACACAGTGCCAACAAGTGGCTTGTGAATGTGTTCTGTTGTTTTGTGTACAATTTAAAGAGAAAAAAATAAGATTTGGGGCGGGGTGGGGTGGGGAGAGATAACGATGCACCTGGTAAGAGGGGAGGGAGAAACGATAACGGTTCTTTTTAATTCCTCCCCTCCCTCATTTTTCCCAACCATGTTTTCTTCCACCTTTCCAGAATTAGACTTGAAAGCACGTGGTGCATCTGGCAGGGATGCAGGGACCGAGCCGGGGTTGAGTCCGTGCAGCATCTGAGTCATGGGGGCTCTGCAGCAGGGAACAGAACCTAAGGATCATTGTGTAGAAAAAAAATCAAGATGCTGGAGACTGAACATTTAGGACCTGCTCAGAGCCTTTGGTGTCTTATATCAGTGCCAATGGGATACTGTGCAGGATGCAATAAACTTTTGCATTTAATTATATCATTTACAGCCCTTATCAATGGCCAGAACACTTATCCTTTCAGAACAGGAATTGACCTTCAGTCTACCTTCAGAGCTCTTGAAATCAGAATAAAAATGATCTGTTCCTTCTAAAGCTCTCTGCATGAGAGGTCTCATAAAAAGTGGACAGTATCCAATTTGGACTCTGTCCCTCCTGATGTCAGCTGTGTGGTCCTAGCCTATTAGTCCAGCGGGAATGTAACTCTTGACTGAATAAAGATTGCCCAGATCTGTTCATCTTAGTCTAGTAGACGGTGGGTTCTCAACTCCTCCCAAATTCTGAATGCCAGCCCTTTTGGAAATAAATTTAGGGTCCGGCATTCAGATAAGGTCTTTCCACAGTGAAAGACATAAATGAATGATCCAAAATAGATAATTGCCCTTCATTATTGTTCTATCATCATCTTTTCAAAGGTCTTTTCAGTGGAGCAGCCATGGTGCTCTCTGAGCTTGGTTGTTTTCTTGCAGATGTTTCATTACCCAAACTAGGTAACATCCTCAGTGCTGGAAGCAAAGTCCATTCTCTTCTAGCACTGGTGATATTACCTAAATGATATAGGCTTGAGCAGGGGGTTGGACTAGAAGACTTTCATGGTCCCTTCCAACTCTGTTATTCTGTTAAACACTACGCCTTCAGTTGGGTAATGAAATGTCTGCAAGAAAACACCAAGCTCAGAGAGCACCAAGGACTCCTCATTTCAACCCTGAGCTATAAATATTCTCCTTCATTGGTCCTTTCAGTGGTTGGGTCCCCAAATCAAAATATCTTAGAAAAATACCCATAATCTCTTCCCAGTTCTGTCTTCTCAGCCATTCCTTTAATTTGGTGTTCATAATCCCAACTGAGCATATTCTGCTATGTGGGCTGCAGTTAGACATATTTCTGTTGTAGCCGCCCCAAGCGACTAGCCAATCAGACTTTTCGAGACCATGTTTTGAGCAAGTGCCAAATCTGTACTAATGTGATGTCCATCTCATGTTTTCTTTTCTCATTGGTTGTCTTGATTTTCTTTCTTTCATCCATGTCTTCAGTCTTAAATTAGGAAAGTACCGTGTCTTAGACAGTCCCTCGAAGAAGTCCATTGCCATCTGCTACTAAGGTTAGTTCTTGTTGCTTTTAAAAAATAAATGAATAAACTTAGAGTCCTTCTCAGGTGAATCAAATCTATACAGAGACTGGCAAACTTTGGATTTGTTTGTGTATGTGCATAGGTTGTGTGTCAATGGTTTAAGGGGGGGGGGGAACCCCGGATAATTGCAAGACAAAATTGAATAGCTGGATTGTATTCACAAAAGTTTGAGTCTGTATCGTATCTGCAAATAGGTAGGTATGGAAACATAGATTTTTACGGAGTGACAAAAAAAGTAAGAATCAGCTTCCTAATTAGGTCACAGGAATGAAAAGAAAAGGATTGGTTAAGCTTTCTGTCCAAATTGCATCTTTAATAGGATGGAGGGTGAGTCTATATCTTAATGTCACACCAATAACATTGTGTGTGATTTGTGGAAATCATATGGAGCCTATGGGTGTTTCACCTAGCACAGGGGTAGGCAACCTTGGCTCTTTTATGACTCGTGGACTTCAACTCCCAGAATTCCTGAGCCAGCCGTGCTGAGGAGAAAGGGAGAGGTTTCCATGCTGAGCCATGCTGGCTCAGGAATTCTGGGAGTTGAAGTCCACAAGTCATAAAAGAGCCAAGGTTGCCTACCCCTGGCCTAGCAGTTCTGTCTTCTTGTTTTCCACATGTTGTGATAAGTGCAGGAGCTGAAGCTTTCACCTGTTTCTTGTGGTTTGAAGAGAAGTCTTAGCTGCATGTAGGAAATGCCCTCATATCACTGGCTACTGTTTTTTGTGGTTTCCAGGAACTTCTAATAAGCCAGAGTTAATCGATTCACAAACCAATCCCCAGTCTAAGCATTGGCATTTCAGACACGTGTTGTGACGAGCCTTCTGCTAAAAAAACCCCTTACTAACGTAAGGACTTCCTGCCCTTAGTCCGGCAGTTTATTCCAATGCTGGAGGAAATTTGGTTCCATAATCCTTTTTTTTTTTTTTTTTTTGCATGATGCTGGAGTGAATGAAAGACAATTGACTGCCAGGGTCTGTTGCATGTTGCCTGGACTTGGGTAAATTTTGACTGTCTGTTGGGGTGAAGGTGGAACGAAAAAACTTCGAATAAGTGGGTTTAATGTTCTCTTGTTTTCTTTTTTTTCCTCTTCTCTCTCTTTCTCACCTCTCCCGCTTCTCGCTCAAGATTAGTTTGAAGCACTTTGAGGACCATAGATCTGGGGTCCTCAAACTCGGCCCTTTTATGACTCGTGGACTTCAACTCCCAGAATTCCTCAGCCAGCCTCCATTTTGTTTATTAGATTTAAGACAGGGATCTTCAAACTTGGCCCTTTTATGGCTTGTGGACTTCAACTCCCAGAATTCCTCAGCCAGCCTCCATTTTGTTTGTTAGATTTAAGACGGGGTCTTCAAACTTGGCCCTTTTATGGCTTGTGGACTTCAACTCCCAGAATTCCTCAGCCAGCCTCCATTTTGTTTGTTAGATTTAAGACGGGGTCTTCAAACTTGGCCCTTTTATGACTTGTGGACTTCAACTCCTAGAATTCCTCAGCCAGCCTCCATTTTGTTTGTTAGGCGTGCCTGGCTGAGGAATTCTGGGAGTTGATGTCCATGAGTCATAAAAGGGCCAAGTTTGAAGACCCCTGCCATAGATCTAGGGAATGCAGGTGGCTTTGGCCAATCTCATAAACAAAACTGCTGATAGAAGTAGGAAAGATATGGGCGGCAGATTCATTTTGCCATCCTTTGGACCACCCTAATTGGTTTATTACAATCATATATAAATCATATACAAAAAGTCCTTGACTTTCAGCAGTTCATTTAGTGCCCATTCAAAGTTACAACAGCACTGAAAAAAAAGTGACTTATGCCCACTTTTCACACTCACGCAACCACTGCAGCATCCCCAAGGTCACGTGATCCATAATTCAGATGCTTAGCAACGGAGTCATATTTATGACGGTTGCAGCGTCCCCAGAGTCATGTGATCACCTTTTTGGCACCTTCTGATAAATAAAGTCAATGGGGAAGCCAGATTCATTTAACAACCGTGTTGCCCACTTCACAACTGCAGTGATTCGTTTCACAAGAAAGGTCGTAAAATGGGGCAAAACTCACTTAGCAGATGCCTCATTTAGCAACAGAAATTTTGGACTCAACAGTGGTCGTAAATCGAGGACCACCTAGATAGGGATTATGGGGAAATGTCGCATTTCAAAGAAGCTTTTTGAGAACCCCAACATTCCTTTTCTTAAAAAAGTGAGAGATGGAACAAGCCTTTCCTGTTGGAGAGCTATTTTTATATATATAAGCAATCAATGCCCAATGGATTTCAGAGGTTGAAGACGACTGCAAAATGTTTACAAAGTCAGGGAAATCCCCCCCAAAATAAAATATTAAAAGTAGTCAATGCGAGGCAGGAAGACGTTGCACAAAAAGCAAGCTTGAACCTACCATCCTAAACTCCATTTTAATAAATGAGCAGCAGCCGAGACAGAATTAACAATGGTTAAGTGGGAAATTAGAAAATAAATTTAATCCGCATTGTATGTAAGAACTACAAGTTTTAAGGTTTAAGTTTAGGTCTTAAGGTTGCCCTGTTTTTTTTCTGTACAGGTGAAAAAGCTGGCATCCTGGAGAGCAGGGCTCTTCAAACTTGGCAACTTTTAAGACTTGTGGACTTCAACTTCCAGAATCCCTCAGCCAGCCATGAAATGCAATGATAACAAGACATCACAGTGGTGATGCACGTGCTGGCTGGGGAATTCTGGGAGTTGAAGTCCACAAGTCTTAAAGTTGCCAAGTTTGGAGTCCCTGCTGTAGAAGTAAACAGTAATCAATTATCTCAAACAACATTGAGATTCCACCCGCTCTTGGGCACCATATTGGTCAATTCCCGTGTTTCCTTCAGCAAACTTTTCTTGTTTCTCTCTCTCTTAAATAACTTGTTCTGAGGCCCTGTTCAGAATAGTGCATCCCCACCGTGATGTCTTGTTTTGTCTTGTTATCATAGTATTTCATGATGGTGCACATTTTATTCAGCTGAACTGCTGCTTTATCTTAATGTCGTAAAGATGCATATCATAATACCACAAACAATATGATCAGCAGTCCCAGCTAGTAAATTACACATAATTTATTTCTCTTTTTCTGCATTATTTTTGATTTGGCAGTCATCATAAAGCA